ATGGGTTAGCCAGGAACTAGGAGGAGTCAGGCCCCGGCAAGATGGCGCTGGGTGAAACGCCCACTACSAGCCTCATTTTCACTCTTCAGAAACCAATGGGTGACGTCACGGACACTAGTCCATCTTTATATACAGTCTATGGTGGTAACACTGAATGCCTAGTTTCGTAATCCTGTTTATCACTCTGTCTTATTCGTTTGTTTTGATTTTATTTTTAAAAAATAATTTTTATATTAGTAATAAAAAAATAATTTTTCGATTAATCGAAATATTCTCTCTAGGTGCAGCCCTATTCCTGTGCACTGCATGTATAGTATTTCCCCTCAAGTAGTCCCTGGACTAAATCTTAAACTGCTAAACGTAACAGTAAATCTAATAAGATTATTATCCACGTCGGCAGTAACGACACCCGCCTGCGTCTGTCGGAGGTCACTAAAATTAATGTTAAATCGGTGTGTACATACGCCAAAACTATGTCCGACACCGTAATGTTCTCTGGCCCCCTGCCAAATATAAGTAGTGATGACAGGTTTAGTCGCATGCATCAATTTAACAGCTGGTTGTCGAGGTGGTGCCCGGACAATAATGTGGGCTATATAGACAATTGGCCAAAATTCTGGGGAAAGCCTGGTTTCATGAGGAGAGATGGATGGAGCCTCTCTTATGGCTAGAAATATTATAACCTATTTAACTTGACAATTCAGAGTCGAGACCAGGCAGCAGAGTTGCAGTCCTACGCACTTCTCTGCGCTTCTGGATCAGTCACCTACATTTATGATAAAGACTGTGTCTGCCCCCAAAACTCAAAATGTCCCCATTAGACAGATAGGAAGGAGAGGAGCAGTCCACAGTAACCTAGTAAAAATCAAGACAACCCATGCCACAGAATCTAAACATCGTAAAATTAAATGTGGCTTACTAAACGTCAGATCACTCAGGTCCAAATCTCTACTGATCAATGACCTGATTAGTGATCACAAATTTGATTTATTCTGTATAACAGAATCCTGGCTCCAACAGGACGAATTTGTGATCCTAAATGAAGCTACACCTCCAACCCACAGTAATACACATATTCCCCGAAGTACAGGTAGAGGTGGAGGGGTAGCAGCAATATATAACTCTTACCTTACAATTACCCCTCGAGTTAGAACATTTTACATCGTTTGAAAGCCTCACCCTTTGTCTTTCCCACCAAAGCCTCAAACAACATAAACCTGGTTATTTAACCATCCTTTATCGCTCATCCGCTGCTTATACAGAGTTTCTAAATGAATTTGCAGAATTTCTGTCAGAACTAGTCCTTAGTGCAGATAAAATCATCATCATGGGTGACTTTAACATTCATGTTAATGAAGCAAATGATAGCCTTAGAGGTGCGTTTAACTCTCTGATAGATTAATTTGGTTTCAGTCAGCACGTAGATAAACCAACTCATAACTTAAACCCCACCTTGGACCTTATACTGACACATGGCATTTATGCTGAGAATCTAGTAGCGTGTGATTCCAACCCTTTATTGTCAGATCATTTCTTTCTCTCATTTGAATTTATGACTAGCAACTGTACTCAGGCGAGTCAAAAATTCTCCCATAGTCGGTTACTGTCCGATAACAAAATTGATAAATTCAAGTAGATAATTCCCTCTATTCTGCAGCAATGCCTAAATGAAACGCATGATAATCTTTTCAACCTCACTCCTGCAGAACTCGATAACTTAGTGGATTATACAACCTCATCACTTCAAACTATCCTTGATAGTATTGCTCCTCTGAAAAAGAAGTTAATTCATCAGAGGAGGTTCACTCCGTGATTTACTTCTGAAACTCGGACCCTAAAACAGGCAACACGGAGGTTAGAGACGAAGTGGCGCTCCGCCCGTTCTGAAGTTAATTTTACTTCCTGGAGGAATTGCCTTGAAGTGTATAAAAAAAGCTCTTCAACGTGCCAGAAACTCATATTACTCTAGACTAATAGAGGACAATAAGAACAACCCCAGGTTTCTCTTCAGCACTGTAGCCAGGCTGACCAAGAGCCACAGCTCTATTGAACCAAAAATCTCATTGTCATTGAGCAGCAATGATTTTATTCACTTCTTCACTGATAAAATTGAAACTATCAGAGAAAAAATTCACCTTTACTCCCCAAAAACTCAGTCACAAACTGTCAACTATGAAAAAAGTGTATACCTAGACTCATGGTTAGATCAGTTCTCCCAGATCACCCTTTCACAACTATCTTCTTTAGTCTCATCCTCTAAAACTTCAACCTGGTTGCTGGACCCCATCCCTACTCAGCTCTTTAAAGAGGCTTTCTTAGAAGTCGGCAGCACTGTATTGACTCTCATCAATAGCTCTTTATCAACTGGCTATGTACCACAGGCTTTTATACTAGCAATAATTAAGCCTCTGCTAAAGAAGCCTAGCTTAGATGCAGGTATCTTAGCAAATTACAAACCTCCTATTTACTTCTAAACTTTTAGAAAGAGCCGTTGTAAATCAGCTGCTCGATCGCCTCCAGAGAAATGACCTGCAGGAGGGCTATCAGTCTGGATTTAGAATGCACCATAGTACAGAGTCAGCACTTTTAAAAGTTTCAAATGATATTCTCCTAGCCTCTGACCAGGGTCTTGTCTCCATGCTGGTCATGTTAGATCTCAGTGCTGCATTCGACACCATTGACCATAACATTCTCCTTCAAAGATTAGAGCAAGAGGTTGGGATTGGAGGGACAGCATTAAGCTGGTTTAGGTCTTATTTATCAAATAGATTCCACTTTGTTAGTGTTAATGATGAAAACTCATCATACACTAAAGTTAATCATGGAGTCCCACAAGGTTCGGTTCTTGGCCCAATACTTTTTAATTTATACATGTTACCATTAGGCAATATTATGAGAAAACATAACATTATTTTTCACTGCTATGCAGATGACACCCAGTTATAATTATCTATGAAGCCAGACAAACTGAACCATTTAATTCGACTTCAAAACTGTCTTAAAGACATCAAGGCCTGGATGACCCAGAATTTCTTATTGTTAAACACAGACAAAAATGAGGTCATAATCCTGGGTCCTAGGCATCTCAGAGAAACTCTGTCTAACCAGTCGGTTAACCTAGATGATATCCACCTGGTTCCAAACTCCACTGTGAAGAACCTAGGAGTTATCATTGATGAAGATCTGTCATTTACCCAACACATTTGGCAAACCTCCAGAACAGATTTCTTTCAACTGCGTAATATAAAGAAAATCAGACACATCCTGTCAAAACAGGATTCTGAAAAACTGATTCATGCCTTTATTACGTCCTGACTTGGGTCCTAATGAGGGATGGACCTAGTGAGGTCGTCGGTCTTTCACAGGGCTGACATGGAGGGTCACGCAACCACCAGCACTCCCACCTGAGGACCTTCCACCTCTGGAGCCATGGGTCCTCTTACTGCGCATGTGAACCATGAGGGAGGCAGGAGTGCCCGGGGGGAACAACGCGCCCTTGGAAAACCATGTGTAACCCACCTCAGCTCTTACTGTCAGTGATAAATGCTTGGGTGATACAGGTATGTGTTTTCATGTGTTAATATTCTTGCAGACCAGTAAATCAGAAGTCTAATTTCGCTATAGGAAAAGGGGTATAAGCAATTTGCATTAAGTGGACGAGGGGAAAAAAATCACACAAACAACAGGTAAGTGTTTTCTTGCGGTATATTAGATTGGTTAAGAAAATGTATTAAAAAATACTATGAGGGTCAATAAACACTTGAGCAATCAACCAACAATCTACCAAATAAATCCCCAAGTCACTGACAAGATCACAGCTTTGTTTTTGGATGGCTCGCCAAGACCACTGAGTTCCCCTCCACCTTACAGAACAGGAAGAATCTCAGCAGAAGAAATCTCCATGCAGGTCTTGCTTGAAACCAGGAACCCATACAACAAAAAGACCTGGCCAGAGGCTCAATTATTATACACACACACACAATCTCCAGCACAAGGATACACAGTCCTCTAACAATAACAAAAGAGGGTCTTGCTCCCCACGCCGATATGGATAGTGACAAAGCTGTCTGAATATCTTGCTCTCTTGCTCAAAAGACAATAATGTGTAGCGAAAAGGTAGCATGTAGCATGTAGCCACCTCGACGTCGGTCCAGTAGAGAGAGAGAAAAAAACACACGATGACCCATACACCCTGAGGGTGCCTGATTGGTTACGTTACATCATGTGAACTCCTCATGTCACCTGAATCTTGTACACTTTGAGAAAGGCACATTCACCACACTTGAGATGAAACAAAATACCCTTTTTTTTAACAGATCTAAATAAACATGTGTACATTGTTTATTTTTCTATTTATTGACATATTTAAGATTTTAATCCTAAATCCTATTTATTCCTTCTAGGTAAGATTATTTTAATCAACCCTATTTATTCATTTATCCGTCACAAAAATATGAATTTACTTATTTATTTCACCAATAAACTGATGAACTGGACTACTAAGAAAAAGGGGCTAGTAACCTGGGTTACATTAAGGACAGAGGATGTCGCACCTTGTTAAGCCCCATGAGACAAATGTATGTGTGAATATGGGCTG